TTAATTAAGATTTTAATTAATATTTTCTTATTATTTTTATTTATTCTTCTTATTATTATTTATATTATTTATTTATCATATTTATAATTATTATTACTTATTGAATTATAATTAATTATTTTTTAGAGATGCAAATTAAGATAATTAATTATATGTATTTTATTTAATTAATTATTTATAATTTATTTACATTTTATATTTATTTCTTTTTTTATAAATATGTCTTTTTTATTTTATTTTTTACTTCAGATCTGAATATTATTCAAATAATAAAATCATAACTTTATAAATTGAAATTATTTATATTATATTTATCTTATTTATAATTATTAACAAAATAATTTTACATTTAATATAATTAAAAATTATAAAACTTTAATATAAAGAGAAAATTATAATTTTTATTATATTTTATTAATAAAAATTAATCTTTTATATTTATAATTATAAAAGTTACTATATAATAGAAAAAAATATAAAATAGGAAAAATATAAAATATAATAAATTATTATTAAAATTTGAAATATTTTATATTTATTAATAATTTTTATTTTCTCTTAATTATTATAAATTATTTAATATAATAATCTTTTAAATTGTTTTTTATTTTTTATAAAGAACTAAATTATTTAAAAATATTAATATTTTGAACTAAAACTGAAATATATAAGTTTAATTCATAATTTAAACAAATATAAAATAAATTAAATTTTAGAATCCAATTCTAATTTGACTTTTATCTTTGATACTCTTGATATAACGACCTTCAATATAACGAAGTCTAATTAAAATCGCGATATAATAAACTTGAGTTTATATAATAATTCCGCTCGATATAATGTATAATGAAATTTTTTGAAAGTTTTACATATAGATCCAAGAGTGGCTTTGTCTTTATATCACGTGCAAAATTTCTGAATATTTTAAATTATTTCAAAATTTTGCCATTCAAAAAAAAAATTGGATGTTTTATACTGTTCTTTACTGTATTAAATAAAAGATTTATAACTTTTTTTTAAATTTATTAAACAATAATGTACATATACATCGCATTATTTTCCAATTAAATAGCCCATATATTTTTTTTATTATAATATTAATTGGTTTGGAAATTAAAATAATATAATTTTTACAAATTAAACAAAAAAAATATTAATACAAAAAAGATTAATGTGGAGAAAAATGAGTGTATGCATATTGTTTGATTGTTAATTGAATGCTATGAGAATCAAAATTAAATAATAAAGTTGTCATTCTAATAAGTAATGAATATATGTATATATAAAGAAATTATTGAATTATTATGTGCTTTTAAGAGAATATATGTTCAAAGAGAATTTTGAATTTTTAAATGAATGCAGTGTGTGATTACACAATTTTGATATTTGAAATGTTTCCCACCAAATTAACCCAACATAATATACAGTTTAAGATCCGCCATCACGAATATAAAAATAGGCAAGCCCAATTCTATTAGATTTATCTTCCCTCGAAATAAAAATGTTTTGAGTTGATTAACGAGTCGTACTTCGACTCCTGTTCAAAGACCATTTCTTAATGGACATACGTCGTTCTCCAAATACCATCGATCCCTTTCTTTCTTTCAAGGTAGACCCCTTTCTTTGTTGATTAATTACCGGTATTTGGGTAATAGTGTCACCATTTGGACTTAACGGAGCTTCAATGTGGCTTCCGACATCCGATGAAGAATTAGAAAAAGTTCCATGAGAATTATGATCACTGTTTTTATTGTTGCTGAAACTGATGTTGTTTCCATTATTATTAGAAGTGATGATTGTTATGTGGTTACTGTTACCGGAGATGACGCCACTACTGTTATTAATAGAATCATTATTGCTGCTGTTGCTGCTGTTGCTATTACCCTGATTGTTTAGACCTTGTGTTATTATTGATGGTCGTATTGTTTGGAATTTAGCGGCAGCTACACGAGATCTAATTGATGCACTAGATGATGTCGGCGAAACTGGTGATGTTGGCTCACCAGAGAATGGCGCTATCGCATAAAAAGACGGTTTACGAGCTAAACTGCCAATAGAAAGTGGTGAATTTGCCTCTGTAGGTGAATTTGATAACTGGCATTCGTGAGAAGATAATATTTTGGTGGGTGGTTCTGTAGTTGCTGCGACTTTTTTGCGTTCCGATAATCGACTTATTTCATCGGCAAAATTTTTGTTAAAGACTATTGTTACAAGATGAGTAGATTGGAATTAGAAAATTGGGTAAGCAATAAAACATGAAATATGGAGAAACTTACATTTTACTAATGTATCATGCAACGGACGCATATCAAAAGAAGCAAGGCGATCATGTAATTCCAAACATCGATCAATAATTTCAACCTGGTAATAAATATGAAAGTGAGCTTCAGTCCATACAAGGAATTTAACAATAGTCAAATGTAAAATATGCCAACCTGTTCATCAATTGCTCCTTTTAATTTCTGGACCATAAGCTCTTTATCCGGATTAGCGGCCAGGAAATCACTACCGAAGAATGCCTTTTTATACATTGGAACACCGCCATTAACAGGAGCATCTACCGCCCCATTCAAAGACATTAACAATGGGTTTGTATTTATTCTAGTGACTGTCGTCGGTGTTGACAAATTAGTTGCTTTTGAATATGCATTATATTTTGCTTCAAGTGCCAGTAATTCACGATTCTTAGCTTTCATTGCAGCGAGAGCATTTTCTATCGGTGATAGTTCGACCATTTTCACGCGTATAACTTCAGAACGGCGTAGAACAGTCGGGAAGGTCTCCTCAGAAACAAGAATCGTTTTTTCTGTCCATAAGTCCAGAAATTCATTATCGGATTTAACGCCATCCGGATTTTTATTCACTGGGCGCGAATAACTAAAGGTATTCACTGCATTATGCTCGTAATATCCGCGAATGGACGATGGTACGTCACCTTTAAATACTGGATTATTCCTATTAGGTTCGGGCGTAACGGCAGTCACTTGTAAGAATTGTCCGTCATCATATAAAATATCGTCCGGAGGTGGTGTGTTGAATTTCAAAAGTTGTGCTTGTGGATGTTTGTTTTGCATCCTTTCACAAAATGCGCCAATCTTCTCCCACTCATATCCACGATATATGAATTGGCGATTTTGTAAGCTAGCCGGGAATCCGCGCCCATAAAATCCAACGCGGAAATATTCGCTAAAATATCTCTCCTTTTTGATAATGTTCTCATAGAGAACAGCTTGCTGTTTGATAATATCAGAAAGTCGCGGGTAATCATAAGTGGTGAATTCTAAATGATGAGCCAATTCTTTGCATAGTTCAATTCCACATTCCCATGCTCGACCTTTCACGAAATAGCCTAATATTTGAATGTACAATCTCTCTTTTCTCGCGAATGGTGATTGTTTTGGCAAATCAAGTTCGGGAATTGCTTCCAATTCTGACTTTGGATCCCATTTGAATAGGTCTGCATGAAGTTTTAATGTTAGTCCAGCTTCGACGTAATTATGACTGTTAGCTTGCATATGAACCAATTGATGCACATATTTAACATATATTTCATCACGTTCGATCGATTTAATGAACTTCATAAGTTTAAGTGTGCACATTATTCGATCATCTTGATATTCTTCGCCTTCCGGCAATTCACGTACACCAAGCAAGAGTTCCAAGAATTGACTAAGTGAGTCCAAGAAATTTGTGACAGTCACACGAAGACGTTTGTCGATAGTCTTTTCATTTTCGAATAATCGTTTCAAATGTGAAATGAAATATGCACGAGATATTTCATCACCCTTCTTTTCAGACATAAACAATCGATCTAGGGTGTCAATGATGTCCGATTCCATCCGTTTGAAATTCTCATCGAGTGAATATTGAGTTATAATCATGCTGAACAATACTCTGATGGCAGATGAGCGTAATTCATCATGATGCGAGAGACATAATTCCAAGATTGGGCCCAACAATGCACTAATATAACGAGCTTGATATCCACCTGCTTTTCCTTCGTTAATTTGTTCCCAACCAATAGCATTCCATAAATTGGATAATAGCCGTGCTCCACGACCGCGAATATCACCAGCCAATCGCCATACAGCACGGCGTTTTTGTGGAGTAAAGTTTTCAATGATTAAATGTTTACTGGATAACAAGGTGAGAAGACAATTGAAGTATTCACACCATAACCTTTCGTTGAAAGCATCTGAATTGTCCCTGCTTGGGATATAATTCTTTCCGAGCAATGAGGAAACCGGTTCTAGCAATTTTAGCAGAACTTTGTGCGCCATAATGTTCATATTTAGCCATGTTTCTGGGAACGCGTCATTTCTCAAAATAGACTGCGCTACTTTAAGCAAAAGAATCAAATATTCAGCCATCGAATCAGCACCTTCCCTAAAATATTGTGATAAAAGATGTTCTTTCATTTGTTGCTGAGAGATTAAGAAAAATATCTGTTGTATAACTGCAGATATTTCGCCTAAACCAGAGACTAATGTGGGGGTTAAATTCAGAAAATAATCTTTGGAGAATCGTAAAGAATTTCCTGTCGTTGGAGTTGGCGGAATTCCAGGGTACATAGCCAATGCCGATTGAAGTACCATACCATTTGATGCAGATTTTTCACGCGGTACGTATTGTGATGTATATTGTAATTCCCGATATGATTCGCATAATTTCATCAATAACGGAAGAATAGCACATACATTCTCGATTTCCATTTCTTTTGCACCTTCGTTAGGCGCATTTTCAATTGAATTCTGCAAGGTTTCTAGTGTTACCCCAATTATAGCAACACATAATTTCAACCCATCTTGCCATTGCATTCGTTCAACAGATTCATTATCATTACCAGTCTTTTCCCACTTTCCCATATGGTCTTTCACCCATTCAACTATGCGTCTTAAGAGTGTAGCTCGTGATTCTGCGTTCTCAAATAAAGGTCCTCGGCAGAATTGTAATATCACCAGCAATTTATACGCAAGCAATTTGCCTTTTGGTAATCGAACACTTTCCGTAAATTTGATGGCAATTTGTACAAGATCGTCGGCCGAGAAACATTTTCCTAAATCTGAAAATATCGATGCAAAATGTTGTAATGCCAAAGTCTGGGTACCAATTATTGGTGCTGGTGTGGTAAGAGACATTAATCGATCGATACTTTTGAATAACGCCCATAGATCTTTTTTGAATTGTTCTTCAACATAGTTCCCTTTGACACCTAGGTTTGTTTCTTTTGTACGCTGAAGTTCACGAGACCGTATAATAAATTTGAAAATATACTGCCAAACTTTGATAGCAGAGCGAAGATTTTGGGCGGTATCAACGTTTCCGGGATCAGTGACAAGACGATTCATCGAGCGAATTAGATGAGATGAAGCAGCGGCGCATGAATAATGCTTTTCAATATACACGTCTAAAACAGGTCGGAAATTCATAAATCGACGATCTGACACGATGGAAAGAATGGTAACCAATGCGTTAAAAACTAAATCGTCAAATTCACATTGTTGATTTTTCGAGGAGACTAAGATCCCAAACAGTGCATCAAAAATATCTTGAAGAAATTTGACAATTTCCACTTCACCAACAAAGGTGAATTTTTTTAACACAGACATCATTTCGTTCTCATCCGAACTTAATTGTTTCTCCCAATTCAGTAATTTTAAAAGTACCTCGTTTTGCGTGTACTTTGTTGAACATAGAAAGGTTCGCACCACCACAATGTCTTTTGATGCCACCATCAATTTATGATGAACGCTGCCAGTTGATACTATCGAAGTACTCGAATTATTATGATGATGAGTGTGACCAGGGGAAACAGGCGATGTTGGCTCTGATTGAATAGTTGCGGCATTTGACCAAGGAGAATTCATGTAAACGTTTGGATTGACCAATTGCTTATCATATTTGTAGAGTATAAGCGAATGTTTTCCATCGCTGATAAATGCTCTATTTTCCGGGAATAAGGGCATATATGCAAATGCAAAGATCTTATCCTCTTTTTTATCTTTAGTTGACCGATGTCTGAATGTAAAGAAAACATGAGCTTGTTCAAATTTTTCAACCGGAATCTTTAATTTTATTAGTTCTCCCCACATTGGATTATTGGAATGATAAAATACGAGTGATTCAAATTGAGTCACTTGAGGTTCACCGGATCCTTGCGAGATTCCATGCTCCAATATTTCGCCCGTGTTTAATCTCACTTCGGCAGTTACTTGAATATTTTTAGCAGTTGTAGCTCGTCCTTGAGTGAAATCGCCTGACCATAATTTCAGATAAATTTCATTTCGAGAATCACCTGGAAATACGACATCGGCAAATCCAAGTCGTGATGTAATTGGAATTCCTTGAAGCAATGCTGGATTCTCTTTAATAACTGTTGCAGTCTCACCGTGGAATGGACGAATTGAAACGCTAACCATTTCAGCGCGTGAGGATTTCTCAAATTCTTTATTACGATTATGAATTATGTCCTCGTGGAGCGTGGCGAAAGTTGATTCTTGAGTCGGCACAAATATTGGCATTACATGTTCGCTTAACGATTCTTTTTCTTTTCCTTGTAAAAGATGACTAATATCCAAGACAGCACATCCAAATGGTCTGCGAAATGTCTGAGACGTCAATTTGCTGTTTGATTGTATAGGTATCTTTGATTGATCAGTTGGTTCTGAATCTTTTGATGTTTTTGAGAATAAACCAGACACTGATCCATTTTCTTTCTGTGCTTCTTTATCTTTGTCTACCAATTTCATGTTTCCAGAACGGACAATTCGACACACTAGAAATATATCATCTTGAATATCATGAGGTGAAAGATCGGTGAAAAGTGTGCGCATTTTCCCAATCTTGGCTTGATCTTTTGGCACTCCATTATGATTAAGAATGATAAAGTATTCCTCTGTTATGAATCGTGCATCTGTTTTAGTATATAATGAAAAGTAAAGTTCCGTATATTCACCAATGGTTGATATTGATGCCACCCATGCTTTCAAATCTAAAAATATATGGTAGAACTTTGCAGCATGAGTGTTTCCGTTACTTCCACTTGTATTCATATCGGAATTATGTGAATTAGACCAAGAATTAAAATTATTATGTGGTGTTCCGGTTGTAACTTTTGCAAGTGGATCCGAGCCTAAAGATTTATCAACGTTCATTACTGCCAATTGAGCCTGCAATTGATAAAGTTGAATTGCCGATATATTGGTTTCATCAGCAAGAAAACCTTTCTCTGGGTTGCGAACAATAATATCTAAATCTTGGATTAAATTGCCAGAAACAAGTTTATTAATCAATTCTTTTCTTAATTTACTTAATTCATCGTGTGATAATGTTTGAGCAAGCAATTGACGTCTTCCTTGTAATAGATTATTGATTTGCTCCTTAACAATGTTGAACATACTGTATCGACGTTGTTCGAGGTATTGAGGCAAAAGACTACTCCATTCTCGTACTGTACTGGCAATCTCATCAATTAACGGTTCAGTTTTACCACTAATTGTATCATCTCCACACGTGAGTGATGGTAATGGAGGTGGAGGACGAGTCTTTTTACGCCCGGGTGAAAATTCAGGATCAACAATTTCTTCTTCTTCTTCTTCATATTTATTTACACCCAATTCCACATCCTCTAAATATTCTTTGATGTATACGTGATTAATCGGAAATATTCCAACGTAAACTTGTGGTTCTTCAGTCTGTCGTAGCTGTGAGACTACATAACCACGATACCACGCGTCTTGTTCTTCAAACACATAAACCTCATCACCAACTTCCAATTGAACTTGATAAGCAATTGCGGGAGAGGTTAAATCTACTGAATTTATTGATACGGTGTCTGATCCACCTTCATTATCTGTGGTTTTAGCGGAATCCGAGGAGTCTATTTGCGGTGCTCCCGGCGTGTAAGGATATGTCGCAAAGCCATAACCGAATTTCGGTAGTGGAGTCCATGTTGGAGCTTCCATTTTAATAATATAATTTTATTTCTTATTCACCGAAATTTTATGAGGCAAAGTTATGAGAGAATATATCAAGGGTGCTCGTAGTAGTATTGTCTTTCCAGTCAAGAGTCGATCAATCGGTTTGTCTTGACTGAAATCGTAAAATATAATTTGCACACTACGTGAATTTTTTATTGTATTCTAATAATGCAACGGTTGAATAGGCCGTGAAATTTAAAGGAAAAAATAGTGAGAAAAAGTAGAGTATATAGGTTGAAAAATGAGGGTGATTTAGAAGAGGAATAAAAAAAAGAAGGTTGCTCTCTCGCGCGTGTTTATTATGTTATTATTACTGTTGTTATTATTTAGTGTCGAAAACTACAACAAGATAAAACACCAACGATCAGTCGTGTACTCCACCTGCAGGTGACGCACACCGTCAAAAGTTAAATCTCCAGACTGTCAAGGGAGATGAGAGGTAAAAAGAAGAGCGAAAAATATATTTAGTGTAAATAAAAGTATCCCAAAGCAGTAATACATATTTTTTTGAGATGCCGTGCAACACAACACAACGCAAGAAACCAACCATCTTTATTCATTAATCAAATATATAAAAGGGAACAATACTGACTTCCCTCGTGACATTATAAGATCTGCAGAAATAAGCTTTACCCACTCAATTTTTTTTGCGTTGTGTATAAAAAAAATGGCGAGGATGATATCATTACTTATAACATTGCTTTTATTTATTTTTAATCTTTTGCTTTGGCCTGACATTGCGGCGGGGACTGCTTTAACATATAATGTTGCTGCTCACGAGAAGGCTTGTTTTTATGCGTGGGTAGATAAAGCTTATGAGAAAGTTGGTTTTTACTTTGCGGTAAGAATTTGAAATACCAGGGGAAGGAGGATTTTAGAAAATGAGTGATATAATGACATAAAAAAAACTATGCAATAGAGATTCTGTCCCGATTCGCATGTTTATTTGTGATTAAACACCATCAAGCTTGTGTTTTATTGAGAGTTTGTTTGTATACGATCTTGTGAGACTAAAGAATCGTTAAAACACAAATTTTTAGGTACAATCCGGTGGATCTTTTGACATTGACTACGTAGTGACTGACCCAAGAAACAAAGTTGTCATCAATGGAAATCGAGAACGACAAGGAGATTTTATATTTACCGCGAATTACATTGGAGAATATTCATTCTGTTTTTCCAATGACATGTCAACATTTGCTGAAAAATTGGTTGATTTTGAGATTACGATTGAAAATGAACCTCGTGCCGAACTACCACCATCAAAGGGGGTAACTCCCGAGCAGACAAATAATATGGAGGAAAGTCTAATTAGACTGAGTGGCAGTCTAAGTACAATCGCCAGAGCTCAAAAATACTTTAGAACTCGTGAAAATCGTAATTTCTCTACGGTGAAGAGTACAGAAAATCGTATCTTTTGGTTCGCATTGTTAGAGAGTGCGTTGATTGTTGGGATGGCAGCTTTGCAGGTGTTTGTGGTTAGAACTTTCTTTAGTACTACAAAACGTGGTCATGTTTAATTAATTTTGATACATTATTAATCTTTACGACACGATGTTACTTCACCATTACCATTGTTATTTTTATTGTATTTGTCGTTTTCGAGGGAATTTATGCCTAATTAGAAAATACAAGATTTGTTAGTATTTAATGTAAATTAAAAAATGAAAATAAATAAACATGAGAGATTCCTTAATGTGGAGAGAATATTAAATCGCACATCTGACCAAAAGTTTTGTTCCTTTCGGGATTCCAGTATAATCTCGAACCTTCTTTTTCAATTACATCACGGAAATGACATCATATGAGGCATCTTGATCTTGCAGTAAACTCGTATATTAGTCCTCAAAGTTTGTTTATTCTTGTATTCGAATTTTCGACACTCTTAAGCACTTTCATCAAATGGGAAAAGATTATTATAAGATTCTTGAAGTTGACAAGAATGCAGATGACGAGACACTTAAAAAGGCGTACAAGAAGCTAGGTATGCAGAAAAATTTTATGACTCTTTGAAAGTAAGTGGACAATATTAATTATATTGACCGTTGAACATATTATTTGACAGCTTTAAAATGGCATCCGGATAGACACAAAAATGACAGTGATAAAGAAATAGCTGAAAAAAAGTTTAAAGAAATAAGTGAAGCATTTGAAGTATTAAGCGATAAAGATAAACGTCAAATATATGATGTATACGGTGAAGAGGGCCTAACGGGAGGCGTTCCTCCGCAAGGAGATGGTGGTTTCCCAGGATTTGGTGGGTTCCCTGGTGGTGGTTCAAACGTCAAGTTTACATTTACCTCAAGTAAAGTATTGAATTCAATTTTTTTTCTTGAACGTTGATGCTCATCACAATAATTAAAGGAATCCATTAATCAAATTAATTTGATGCGATTGAAAAAAAATTAGATGCCCCCGGTGGCGGCTTTAGAGGTTTTACTCCATCTAATCCGAATGACATATTTGGTGAATTCATGAAGCAATTTGGAGGAGGTATTCCAACTGATGATGATGATCTTTTTGGTGGTGGATTTCGTCAAGGATCGTTTGGGAAGGGTGCTAGAAGACCAGGAATGTTTCAGGATCCTTTCGGTACACGCACATCCAATGAAGCTAATGCTGAAGTCGTAAGAACAATTGCTCTCTCTCTCGAAGATTTATATAAAGGTGTCACGAAGAAGATGAAAATTACTCGAAAATTATATGATGGTGCGACTAGTAAACAAGTTACTGCCGATAAAGTTATCGAACTTCAAGTGCGTCCCGGGATGAAGGCTGGCTCAAAGTTTCGCTTTGGAAATGCCGGCGATGAACTGCCAAATGGACAATCGCAAGATGTTGTATTTGTCCTCGAGGAAAAACCACATTCAGTTTATACGCGTGACGGGGACAATCTCATCATGACTTTAAATATCACCCTCGCAGAAGCTCTGACCGGATTCAGAAAGACAATCCAGACGTTAGACGGGCGAAATCTAGCAATCTCCTCCAAAAATATAATACAACCTGACCAAGAACAAAGATTTTCGGGCGAAGGAATGCCCACAAAAGATCCGAATAGGAAAGGCGATTTAATTATTAAATATAAGATACAATTCCCGACACGGTTGAGTGAAAAACAAAAGGAGGAAATCCGGAAACTTCTCGATAGTTCTTTATGATGATGACGATGACGTTGATGATGATGAACTTGAATTTTTATAAATAATAATATCGCCGGCCGAAATTTTTGCTCAAATTCACTTATAATTCAAAGTTAAATATGCAAGAAGCATTCTCTTTGGTTAGCGTCATACTTTTTTTAATTAATATTAACTATAATAATAATCCAAATACTATTCATTGCAACAATAATAACATTTCGGGTCAATTATAATGCAAAATCAAACTGGTGATGGTAATAAAACTTCTGATAGAGTAGCTATTTTTATTTTTTTTTTTGAATTCTTCTCCTTTCATTCTGACACATGCACAAAACATTTCTAATGTTTCGTACCGCATTTACACCTTGGTTCCATATACTTCAGCACGCCTTAAATGCATAAATACGTGGCGAATTTTCGAATTAACCTTCAGAATACAAACGAATTTATAAACCAACATAATGAGCGGATGTTTATATTAAGCATTGCTTTCTCTAAGTGTGTAACATACTTGATGGTTCGAAATCTACTTACCAACTTTGTGATGCATCTTCAACTCTGCTTTACGAATCCCGAAGTATGACCATGAGATGATGATGAAAAGTAGCCAGCACCGAAAGCAATGATGACGTTAGGGTTGTACTTATCATGATTTGAACCAATAATTCGACAACAGAATTTAAGAGAGCTTGTTATTTACCAAAGTGGTTGCCAAATTTTATTCGATGGAAATGCTTGGCACCATAAGACATGAAGAGGGTATATTGAATATGAAAGTTGATGTATGTATGCGATGTGAAAATGTTTTATAAACCGAATGTTAAGATTCTAGTATTATTAAAATGAGAGAATTATCTTGATAATTTATCAGAAAATCAAGTGGCAATTTGTTGGAAGCTCATCTTCTTTATCCATATCTCAATATTCTTTCAACATATTTTTTTTTATTATTCACAGCAACAAGCAAATCTCATCCAATGATTTATTTTTCCAGTTATATCAATTATTTCATATTCATGTTTTACTGATCAAAATGCCAGATGACATAGTTCTCAATATAATGTCCTTATCCGATTATGAGTATTCGATAAATATTCCTTTAAACTTCTTAAATCCAAGTTCAATTTATCATGTTGATTTTCTAATGCTGAATAAATAAAATTCACCAGTTTGTCGTATATTGAGATGCCTCTGGTATTGAAAACAAATATATTTTGCTAAGACGACGTGAAAGATTAATTGAAATATGATTCCGGCAATTTGTATGATAAGCACGAGCTGCTAGAGATTTGACCAAGATTGTCCATGATGGCTTATTTAGTTGTTGGAGGTATACATTGGTTTATCACGAATAATATTAATAGAATTATCTTTGGTATTTGTTGGAATAAGGATGCGAATAAATTGAAGTGGTAACTGTCAAACAAAAATATATAATTGTAATAGTTTTGCGCCTTCAAAGGTTATACGATTATAACGTCTTCAAGAACCGGTACAATATTTTGATCTAATATTAAGGAATCGTCGTTCTGGTTTTTGATTATGTAGAATTTGCTCGTACAAAGGACAGGTTTTGCTTGAGATTCGAAAATAATCAATCCTATCTCACTTGCAATCTTTGTAATTTTTTTTTACTTAATTCCGTCTTTTCTATTTCGAGTCTCTTTGTTGATTTATTAATATCTACATCCAAGTTAGTTATACAATGCTGATTATAGTCTGTATTTGTGTAAGATGATCATTGTACCATCATCAAACACAATGGCTTGCTACAAACAAAGATAATTTATGAAATAACTGTTTAAATATTTGAGAGCTTCCTTAACGTCACCAACATGGTAAATGAATTTCGAACCAGCAGGGATTAATATAAACCATCCGCTCATATTAGTTTGAAAATCCTCAAAACATTTATGCACTAAAGGTGTGTTTTTATTATGGAATCGAGATGTAAATGCGGCATAAAAATATTAGAAATGTTTTGTATACGTGTCAGAATATTTTAGTAGAAAAGTTTAATTTGATTTACCGGATTACAATGAGGAAATGCATGCTCTCAAAGGGTAGCGCGTATTATTGGTCAAGGGCTAATGTCACGTGAAAATAGAACATCGATATGAGTCACAAGAGAAAAAATTTTACGGTATTTACATCATGCAAGTGCACGTGGACGGTGGATATTAGTAAATTCTAATAACGTTAAGCAGAAATTGAAAGTACCCAGACTGCTACACAAGTAGGAATAATACATAAAAATAGCTTACTCGCAAAGTCACCAGATCGTAGTCTATTAGTCAGTTTATTGGACTATTATTGTTTACAAACCGCCCCATGAAAATACAAATGTGCTTTTGTTCTTTTTCTATCTTTTCGTTTAGTTACAACAAGAAAAAAGTTGATGAATTTTTTCGGTACTCCCCTCATATAAAATCAAATTTACAACATATACACTTTATACTTTAGAGTGAATTCCCTGTATACCTATCCAAAGAAAAACGATGGCAAAAACAAAAACTCGACCTCGACAGCCACCTACACCCGTCGTCACTCCTCCGGAAAAAAAGTATAGTGTCAGTCGACCGGTGAAACCTAAATCCGAAAAACCAGAGAAAAGTTGGCTGCTCATTTTGATCGAGGCTTTCAAGCACGATTACGAAACTACATTGACCTATAAGGAAACGGAATTATTCGAATGGATAGTTAAAGCATACCCTTATTACGCTTCCCAAAATCCAGAATTCTGGCATTCAAATGTCAAACGGACATTAAATAATTACGAGGTTAGTTCTTTCTCCTTTGATTTCAATTTGAAATTATTCTGATAGACGGTTGACAAAATTTTTCTCTTTATATGCAACGTTTTTTTTTCGTATTTCTAGTGTTTTCGCATAGTGGGTCGTAATGTCTGGACTTATATTGACCAGAAAGCTGTTCAAATATTGAAGAAAGAGGCCGAAGAGGAGGCTGAGGAAGAGGAGGAGGAAGAGGAAGAAGAAGAAAATATGGAAGTAATCTCAGAACCAAAATCTCCGATTGAAAAAACAAAACCCAGTAAAGAAGTGAAATCTAAGCCACGGCAATCACCAAGGAAGCCAAAAAAAAGACCACGTCCTGTAAGGACACGAAAACCTCCAAGACTAACAAAACGTAAACGAACTTCGAGAAGATCGCATAAAAATGACGTTGATGAATCGGATGCCCATCTGTCATCGGCATCTTCTTCACCCCCAACTCCACCACCAGAAAGAGAGCAAGAATCTCACGATGAAGAAGATATTCAACATGAGGAGGAGAAAAAAACATCAGATAACGATGAATTGGTTGAGGAAAGCATAAGAGTTAAAAACCCTGAAGAAGTTGCAGTTGAAATTGAGAAGAAAAATGGCATTATTGCTGATGACGATGATAATGATAATCACAACACTATTATTAAATACAATCGCATGAGTACAGAGGCTTGGTTGCAATTACTTATCGAGATATTCAAGACTACAAAAAAGCAAAAAACAATTCGTGAACTTGCAACTCTGATAAAAGACAGATATCCTGTGTTTAAGAAGGCACCACCTGTTTGGGAATCTGATTTTGCTGAAGTTCTGGAATCTAATCCGCAATTCCAAAATATGGGCCGAGGTAGATGGTGTATTGCGCATGAAGAAAATGATGAAGCAGTAAGAAGAGAGGGCAAAAGGGAAGAAAGGAACACTTTTGCTAAAGATATTCGTCTGGAAGAACGTGATGAAATTCACGGAACATCTTCAACTGAAGAAGAAGATTGGAGATCATTAGGACCACAAAAGTTAATTTCTTCAAAGAGACGAAGACATTCGGTTGCTGGTGGTCCAATAAGACGAAACTCTATCTCAACTCAACGAAAATCCCGTAAAAAAACAAAAAGCGTTTCTTATCAATCTTCTGAAAAACCTAATTTAAGTACTATTACTTCATCAGATTATACCTCATCTCCCATACCAGAGCATCAAAAAACCACAATAATGGAAGTTCCCATGACTCCAAATACACCCAGTTTATCCTCAAATCTTCAACTTGGATTCGATCAAATTTATGAAACGCCAACGAGTAATTCTATAACGAATGATTCACTGTTAAGTCCTGTCACGCCCACGCCTCAAGCGCGTCGATATGAATTTATCACTGAAACAATTAGACCGACATCTCCCACACCTAGACCAAAGCTTCGTACGCCAAAAACAACGCCGCCACCTCCAAATCTAATTGCAGCAGAATTCGATTATCCATCGAGATTTATAAATGAGCGAGAAAATGATAGGATAGAGAATAATTTATACCAACCCAATCAATTTCCTATATATCAACAGCATCCTTCGCGTTCACCTTCTCATCCCTCCCCCCAATCAAATAACATCATTTCCTTATCATCGATCCCTGTAATTCCGGAAGAACGCGCAGCTATCGAAGCCTTAACTCTATTGTGTCGAACTGAAGCATCGCCTTTATAACATATGGTGTGCTTCGAGGGGCTGTTAGTTCATTTATCTTCTTTGTAATTATTGCATTTGTATATTTTTTTTAAATTTTTCACATACACAATTTATTTTGTATTAAAGCGATGTCGTTTCATAATACTATCATCATAATTAATTACATTGCGTGGTCACCCCTCCATTTATAACACTACTCATTCCACTTAAAAACACTTGTATAAAAAGTTAAAATATATATATCGAAAAAGCAGCTAACAGAGCCAATTTCTCTTAGACTAGTATTATAATTATTTCTTTGATTCTTTGCTCTCTTTTTGTCACAAGTAAAAAAAAATCTTAAAATTTTTGAATGAAGCGACTGCAAAATATTTTTCTGGGATTCAACATCTGAATTAAAGAGGAAATCAAGGTTAACAGCCACAACTGCTCACAAGAAACAAGAGCTTTGGAAATTTCAAGACGCGCAGCACGGGAACTCACCCATTTATAGGGTATAAAAGATGGTATCAAACCTAATCTATAATATATCTATATATCGTGTTACTGTCGTTCTCTCCAAAACTTGCTTTACCATTATTGTCACATATACAAAAACGCGTCATACTGATTATTAATGGTAATCCTTGGTGGTCATTACCGATCCAAAATTAATGGGCGCATACACGGGGCACACGTAGATCGGGATGAGTTGAATCTAGGTAAGGATTGATCTTTATTGGTTCCTTTTTTTTAACAAGCTGTTGCGTACATGCTCACGTGATTTTCTTGAGTATTTTCACTCGCTTCAAGGCTAATCTCTAGTACTAACCTTGACCCAATAATGGAGTATTACACACGTTAATAGGATGATTACAAATTTCATAGGAATGCAAATATGACTCAGCTTTTGAGCATCATGCATTTCAAGCAATTGATAATAAATAAAATATTTCAAGTCTTATAACACACACATAATATGTGCCTGTTTCTGATCACATGATAATAAACCAATAATAATGCGCAAATCATATGTGCCGACAACTATTAGATTATTTTCAGAGTTTTATAGAAATTATATGTAAAATTGTCTCACTGCCATTTTTGATTAGAACTTCAAGTCAGATTTTTGACTTCTGCTTTCTTGTATTTATTAAATCTGGAACAATTTCTATTTTCTAGTAGCCCGCATCACTTACAATGCTAATGGTTAATCACATGATCTCACTCACATGGAACGTAAAAATGATAGATCAACATCTAATACTGTAATACAAATATTATTGAGAGATTTGATTATAAAATTAGATAGATATAGTTACTGGATAAAAAAATATTATATAATAGATAGCATATTTTTTATATTTACAAATGCAAATTAATTATAATTCAAAATATGATATAAATATGAATTAAATATATTTTATAACTTTTATTAAATATAATTAAATCTTTTTATAGTTATATTTTTTTATAGTAACTTTTTTAAATTAATTATAATTTAAGATATAATATAAATGCAAATTGATTATAATTTCAAATATAAATCAAATATATTTTATAATTTATACTAAATAAATATCTTAAAATATATTATAAAATATAAAATTAATTATAATTTAAGATATAATATTAATTATATAATTATTAAAATATAATACTAATACATAATTTAAAATATAATATATAGTAACAGTCAAAAATAATCAATCTTTTATAACTTTTTATACTAAAAATTTTTTGTTTTAAACTTTTAAAATAATTAAAATTACTGTATTAAAATTTATATATTTATATTATATGTAATAATAAAAATTTAATTTAATTTAATAAATTAGTTATTAAAAATTAAATTTTATATTAAATTATTTTATATATATATATAATAAAATTTAATAAATTTTAATTTTAATTTCTTAATATCTTTCTTATTAAATTATATCAAATTTTTTGTTATTAATATAATTATTCTTTATTATATTTGATTAATATTTTTTTATTAATATAAAAAATTAATTTTAAAATTCAGCTCTCATTTAAATTTTATTAAAATAATTATAAAGTATTAAAAAACTCATAGAATCTAGATTTATATTATATTATCTATATTAAAACTTTCAAGAAAATTAATTTTTAATTTAAAAAATTATAAAAAATCAGATATTTTTAATTATTACTATAAATATAAATCAAATATATATATTAAGTAAATATAAAATAATTATATTATATAATAACAATCAAAAATAATGTATCAAAAGCTAAATTTATTAATAAAATATAATAAAAATTAAAATTTTCTCTCTATATTAAAATTTATAATTTTATTAAGAAATAA